AGACTACGTACAAATATGTTGGAGTACAAAATGAATAGGCCACTAATAGAACTTAAGGTTTAGAAAGCACCCTGCTAAATGCTTAAGAAAAATCCACGGTGTTCACAACGCCATGCCAATAAACTGAATCAATTTAACATGAGTTGTCTCTGGACATTGATGAGGGTGGGGATAATAAGACAAGACAGGGTCCAAGACACTGAGATTCTCAACCGAGCTGGTGGTCCAAGCATCCACAATCAGCTGATGAAATCAGTTATAATGGTAGGGCTACGTCACCAGGAAGCTAGAAGAGCTGTTACCAAATAAGCTATTGGAGAGGTGAAGGAGGAAAAGAGTTCTCAAGAAGTCAAAAGAAACCCTTCAGAGATTTTATTAAGTCATCCTTGAAATACTTAAACGTTGGTCCTCAGTCTTGGGAAGATTTCACAGAGATAATGGAGCTACAGACTCTGAGAAAAATTGCAGAAACTTAATTTTCGTAAATCTTAGAACTGCTTCACAACGTCTGTTTATCTTCTATATTTATCAATCAATCCCAATTGAAATCCAACTAGTCAACTATGTCATTGCCATTTTCTAGATTGAAGGACAAACAGCAACACGAATATCTTAATGGAAGTTATGTTGTAGCTTGAGAATCATTGAAGATCAATAATAAATATGATAATTACTCAGATAATTGTCAGCTAATATCTTAATCTATTATCCCCACGCAGTATCTAACCGCTAGCCGAAATTCACCAATTTTTGTCTTACTGGAACACGACTTGCATACGGCTGCGTCAAACACTAGAGTGTCTTTGATAACAGTGTCCGCTTGTGTCGCTGCGTCGTTCTCGATGTGTATTTTTTGTTTAAAAGGCTGATCTTCAATAAATTTTTCAAGAAATCTTGTAATAAGTCCATATTGTTAAAGATTACTTGAATAATCAATGTCAAGTAACCTCCAGATTTTGAATACAAAAACAGAAAATTGAAGATCCTGAAATACACAAAATGTACTGCCTTTGCAAAATTTGATTGTTTTCATATAGAAAATACTTGTTGTTAGAATATGTATCACGTTATAGAGAATTGAACAAATTGGACAAAGGGGACGTCGAAGGCTAATTGGATGCATGCTTACCATTGCAGTCGTTTGCAAGTGTTTGTAGTTGTGTATCCTGATTTGTATAAAACGTGACAAAATTTATTATAAGTGTCATTTCGAGTACAACCGCGACGTACTTCTCCTTTCTTGCACAGCATCAAAACGTTTGTTTTGATGTCTCTGTAAAATAAAGAGTACTGTTTATCAGGATGTATACCAATAATCAGCATGCAGTTTACACACACACATACGCACGCACGCACACACACACACACACACACACACACACACATACATACATACATACATACATACATACATACATACATACATACATACATACATACATACATACATACATACATACATACATACATACATACATACATACATACATACATACATACATACATACATACATGCAGAGGAATGTTTCCATTCATCGACTTCATTACATTTCAAAAATATGTGTGGATGCAATATAACAAGTGTTGCATATCACATTAATATAAACTTTTTTAAGGGCACAACTCTGTTTACTCCAAGGTATATTTTGAGCGGTTAAACCGTGAGAAATGCTTGATAGGCCCCGTCTTTGCCAACAAAACCCCATAGTCAAACCTGCTGATACAGCAAACAAACTTGCGAATCGATGCCTGAAAGTTTCTTACCCATTCTTGTCTCCTAGACACACGGTCTGGTTACACATATCCAACGCTTTGTATTACGCTGATACTTTGTTCCACGATTATCAATCATTCTTTAATCTTGGACACATGCTTAGTCTTATGCAAACATTGTGATGACTGTGGTTAACGTTTGCATAAACATCAGACGAAAAGATACACACAGTTTCGAGCTGTACATTTTACGCCAGACATTCTATAGAGGAGAGGGACACGGGTTTGTGTGCCATGAGCTCTTTGATAGGGATACAATACTGAACATGTATATTACTACAATAGATGTCTATAAATAAGTTTCATCAAAAGAAAACATTCACAGATCTAATTCTAAAAAAGGTCAAAAGAAGAAGACTTTGTAATAAAAACACCCTTGTAACACGTGTGACTTATGGCTATATTGTGTCGCATGTTATGGCTGCTTTAGCTTGTATGTTTAAAGAAATATTGTATTAAGGTGTCGTTTCCTTCAACGTTTTGCAGACGATACACGAAGAAGTTTATTGGATAAACATATTTGCCCGAATGATAAAAATTAGCTCCTTAGTCTTAGTCTGTTTTTCATCTTGTTTTATCGCTCTACTGGTCATACACCGGAAGAACGTATTGATTGGTCAGTCGACCGTTCGTCAGTTGGCGCAAGATTATTATTACTATTCCACTTGAACTGCTTGTAGGATTGCCTTCAAACATTACACGCCTATTCATCCATTGATCAAAAAAGTGCTAACTTAAAAGGGTGCAAATGAGGCGTCCAATATGGCAGCGACAGCGGCCATCTTGAAAATCGTAATCTCGCTACTCTTCCTGAATGTATGGTCATATCAACATGGGTTGTGAAAACCAAACGACTTCCCAGGATATCTAGTTGCTCCTAAATGTAAAAAGTGCATATCCGACGTTCAACATGGCTGTCAGGGCGGTTGTCTTCCAAATCTTGTAAATAAATGCTCCTCCAGAAGGTTTGGTCATATCAGCATCGGTTTTATAATAAAAGACTTCTTCTTATGTTTATTTTGTCCTAAATGAAAAGGGTAATCGATATGACATCCAATGTAATCGTCACATCGGCCATCTTGAACATTATGTTATCTATACTCTTATGTCATGTTATGGATATTCTTCCTGAATGGATGGTCGTAACAACATTTGGATTTCACAAAAATAATTTTTATGATATCAAGTTTTTCTTAAATGATAATGGTGGGGTAATCCGATGTACGATAAGATAGTCCCGAATAGAGGGTCGTCGTATAAGAGGGTCGTATAAACATTGGGTCCTGAATAGAGGGTCGTATAAACATTGGGTCCTGAATAGAGGTTCGTATAAGCATGGGGTCCTGAAAAGAGGGTCGTAAAAGCATTGGGTCCTGAATAGAGGTTCGTATAAGCATGGGGTCCTGAATAGAGGGTCGTAAAAACATTGGGTCCTGAATAGAGGGTCCTATAAGCATTGGGTCCTGAATAGAGGGTCGTATAAGCATGGTATCTTGAATAGAGGGTCGTATAAGATGGGGATTCTGAAGAGAGGGTCGTCGTATAAGCATGCGTTTCGCTGAAACGATTTCTTATCATGGTCCAAGAATAAAACAATTATTCTCTTTATTGATTCTCCTGAATGGAAAGTCATATCTTGCACCTTTTGTTATCTCATCTATTTAGGGGTATATATATATATATATATATATATATATATATATATATATATATATATATATATATATATATATATATATATATATATATATATATATATATATATATATATATCAGCATGAGTTTGTTCCAATCGACTTCTTATGATGCCTAGTTCGCCCAAAATGAAAATGGTGCTAGTTGGAAATCAAATATTGTCGCCATGACGTTTGGCTTACCATTCGTTTTGTCACCACTCACCCTGAATGGATGACATTTGGTTTTCACCAACAGACTTCTAAGTATGGTCAATATAGAATATTTGAGATGGTTTCAACATTCAATAGTTAAATGGAAGAAATGGTCTTAATTCTTATCTTGAATTACTTGAAATTATTTTCGCCCATAAGCAAGTCAATTCGAGGGACAAATGCTTATTTCCTTAGTTTAAATGCCACTTTTAACACATTGACTATGTCATGCTAACATGTTGAAGAAAGAGTTACCGCCCTTCCCAAGAAAATACCAAAAGCGGCCCAGGATGCTCTAAGCTGGTTTGTGAATTTCAAAAGACTGATATGTAAATCAGTAACTTGTCGATAAATAGAAATATTAGAACATTACGAGTCATTTTCTGATTGGAAATCGCAGAACTTTTGACAAAAGGTTATTCAATTACATTTAAAATGTTGAATTTTGAACCTCAGAAATATTCAAAATTTATCAATGTACACTTGTACTTTTACACCGTAAACTTGAAATTAAATTCTATACACTAGTAATTTATGAATGTACAGTTGTAATTTAGCACTGAACGCCTGTAATTTAGCACTGTACACTTGAAATTTGGCACTCTACACTGTACACTTGTAATTTAGCATCTTACACTTGTAATTTAGCACTGTACACTTGTAATTTAGCAACTTACACCTTACACTTGCAATTTAGCACTGTACACTTGTAATTTAGCACTGTGCACCTGTAATTTGCCTCCTTAGACTTGTAATCATTTAAAGTTTTCTCTTTCCTCATTATTATATAAATCATGTAACATATACAAGACTCTCCTCATTATTATATAAATCATGTAACATATACAAGATTCTCTTTCCTCTTCATTATATAAATCATGTAACATATACAAGACTCTCCTCATTATTATATAAATCATGTAACATATACAAGACTCTCCTCATTATTATATAAATCATGTAACATATACAAGACTCTCCTCATTATTATATAAATCATGTGACATACAAGATTCTCTTTTCCTCTTCATTATATAAATCATGTGACATATACAAGATTCTCTTTTCTTCTTCATTATATAAATCATGTGACATATACAAGATCTCTTTTCCTCTTCATTATAAAAATCATGTGACATACAAGATCTCTTTTCCTCTTCATTTTAAAAATCATGTGACATACAAGATTCTCTTTTTCCTCTTCATTATATAAATCATGTGACATATACAAGATTCTCTTTCCTCTTCATTATATAAATTATGTGACATATACAAGATTCTCTTTCCTCTTTGTTATATAAATCATGGGACATATACAAAATTTTCTTTTCCTCTTACCGCTCTGGTGGCCTAGTGGTTAGAGCGTCTGCCTCGGATGCGGAAAGTCGTGGGTTCAATACCCGGTCGAGTCATACCAAAGACTTACAAAAATGGTACTAACAGCTGCCTCGCTTGATGCTCAGCATTAGGAGGTTAGTGTTAGGACTGGTCAGCCTGGTGTCAGGATAATGTGATTGGGTGGGACATCATGCTACATGTCTGCGGCATGATGCCCCAGTGCTAGACATCACTATAAACTACCACACTGCAAACATCGTAGCGATATGACTGAAAAATTGTTAAAGCTACGTTAAAAATAATAACATCACATCACAGTTTTTCATCTTCATTGTATAAATCATGTGACATACAAAATTCTCTTTTTCTGTGCATAATATAAATCATGTGACAAATACCAGATCTCTTTTCCTCTTCATTATATAAACCATGTGACATATACAAGAGTCTCTTTTCATCTTCATTATATAAATCATGTGACATATACAAGAGTCTCTTTTCCTCTTCATTATATAAATCATGTGACATATACAAGAGTCTCTTTTCCTCTTCATTATATAAACCATGTGACATATACAAGATTCTCTTTTCCTCTTCCTTATATAAACCATGTGACATATACAAGATTCTCTTTCCTCTTCATTATATAAATCTTGTGACATACAAGATTCTCTTTTCTTCTTCATTACATAATCATGTGATATATACAAGAGTCTCTTTTCCTCTTCATTATATAAATCATAGAACATATACAAGAGTCTCTTTTCCTCTTCATTACATAATCATGTGACATATACAAGATTTCTTTCTCCTGTCATTACTAACCTCATTAGGCAAATTATTGTCACCCATAGATGTAAGCTTTGCCGAATCAACATCTGTTGGTGACTAGGTTATTTGGGTGAATGTCTATAGACAGATGTTTATCTACTCAAAACTTTTGAAGATGAATGGAAATTCTTTCTCTTAAGCATGATATTAAACCCTCAAAATTAATATCTAGGTAAAAATTGACATTGTATCCGTTTTTGGTTGTTGTTTCATAAATCAAATATTCAGTGAGTATTTAATGGCAATCACTAACGATGTTATAATTACCCTAGTGTGAATTATACGGTTTTGTCAAACAAATAAAAAATCGTGATCTGCGTATTTTCTTCACCGATTAGCGATACATGATACCATATTTTGTATGTTTGCATGGATAATGGCAAGAATTTAGGAACCACAACCCGAAAACTAATACCTCAAACTTTTGGCGATTTCGATGTTTTAAAAAAAAGAAAGCGCCTTATTTCAAAATACAAATGAAAGTATATATGCTAAACATCGTTCTGGAAAATAAAAGGTAAACACAGACAACTTGAAGTTAAAATCAAATTCAAGCGGCTTGCGTTCTGCAATTGTTTAGATATGAGGTGTTATGTAAGTGCTGTTGTACAATTAGGAATACAAGGTTTTAATAGTGTTTTTATTTTTTACATTATGCTACATTTGTAGCCAGAAGAGTGAAATATGAATTTAATATTTTAATTTAAAATATACAAGAATGTGCTGGATCTAAGTCTTGTACATTAAGGTCTTGCGACAATTGTTTAAACATTTGCAATACATGCATGTATCCAAGGAAAGAAACGCAGTAGATCATTGACGAGGGAACTAAATTGCTTTCATTTTCTATGCGGACTTAATACACACTGTGATGCATGTTTGCCCCTTTATCTTCTACCAATTTGTCTAAATTTATTATCTGTTTCCATAAAACATTAAACTGCGGTTGAAGCACCTAGAACTGTCCAATAACAGATAACCATTGTGTCATTCTTACCAATACTTGGATTTAAATGAGAGTTGATGTCAACTGACATATCGTATGCGATAATAACTTACACCCAAATGTGAGCATGGACAGCATTTTGAAAGTTAAACTACATGAAAACAATTTAGCATTAATAATACTAGATAAACTGGGTTTCCGATCCAGTCTTAATAATCGGCAACTATACTATCTGAAAAAGCCAGCCGAAACTCAATCAGTTCACGCACTGTAGCAAGACATGGATACCGTTGTCAAACACTCGAGTTTCTGTGACAGTGTTGTATTCCTCAGACGTATCAAGAGCTCATGTTTTTTACGTCTAGTCAAGAACACAATAAACTATTGTTTGAATAATTTACATCGGTGTTCGATATAGATACCAACAATGGATCACGTTTTTAGACAACTGAAAGCCATAATTTATAATAGCAAATACTCAAACATTAGTTTCACAAATGTCTGTATAACAATGTGCTTAAAAATTCATTCTACGAATTGATTTGATGCTGAGTACAAAGTTTGCGTCATTTTCAGATCAGTTCCCTCAATGATGTCAGTTAATTAAACCAGTAATAAATAAATTAACTAGTTTACTAGTCGATGTAAATAAATAAACAAATAAATAAACATAACACTGCATATAAATAATCAAACATCTCCCTGAATAATAATAATTTAGCATGACACCTGGATGTATTTAATTAAACATATTCCTGGATGATATGTTGTGGCAACACGTCATTCAGACAATATACATATGTGTATTTTATTGTCATATATACAATAAAAGTTTCTCATCATGATAATGACAACATAATATTTCCATCATGAAATGACAACATAATATTTTCATCATGCGAATGACAAGGTAATATTTCCATCAAGAAATGAAAACATAATATTTACATCATGATATTGACAACATATTTCGATCATGAAATGTCAACGTAATAGTTCCATCATGATAATGACAACATAATATTTCCATCATGATAATGACAAAATAATATTTCCATCATGAAATCACAACATAATATTTCCATCATGAAATGACAACATAATATGTCCATCATGACAATGACAACATAATATTTCCATCATCAAATGACAACATAATATTTCCATCATGATAATGACAACGTAATATTTCCATCATGAAATGACCGCGTAATATTTCCATCATGAAATGACAACAAAATATGTCCATCATGATAATGACAACATAATATTTCCAACATGAAATGACAACATAATATTTCCATCATGAAATGACAGTGTAATTTTTCCATCATGAAATGACAACATAATATTTCCATCATGAAATGACAGTGTAATGTTTCCATCATGAAATGACAACATAATATTTCCATCATGATAATTACAACATAATATTTTCATCAAAAAATGACCGCGTAATATTTCTATCATCAAATGACAACATATGTCCATCAAGATAATGACAACATAATATTTCCAACATGAAATGACTGTGTAATATTTCCATTACGATAAAGACGACTTAACGATTCCATCATGATAATGACAACATAATATTTCCATCATGAAATGACAACATAATATGTCCATCATGACAATGACAACATAATATTTCCATCATGAAATGACAGTGTAATGTTTCCATCATGAAATGACAACATAATATTTCCATCATGATAATTACAACATAATATTTTCATCAAAAAATGACCGCGTAATATTTCCATCATGATATGACAACATAATATCTCCATAAAAGAAATGAACGCGTAATAATCCCATCATGAAATGACAACATAATATGTTCATCATGATAATGACAATATAATATTTCCATCATGAAATGACAGTGTAATGTTTCCATCATGAGAATGACAACATAATATTCCAATCATGATAATGACCGCGTAATATTTCCCTCATGAAATGACAACATAATATGTCCATCATGATAATGACAACGTAATATTTCCATCATGAAATGACAGTGTAATATTTCCATTACGATAATGACGACTTAATAAAGATAATGACAACATCATATATCCATCATCAAATGACAACATGACAACATAATATTTCCATCATGATAATGACAACCTCATATTTCCATCATGAAATGACAACATAATATTTCCATCATGAAATGACAGTGTAATGTTTCCATCATGAAATGACAACATAATATTTCCATCATCATAATGACAACATAATTTTTCCATCAAGAAATGACCGTGTAATAATCCCATCATGAAATGACAACATAATATGTCCATCATTATAATGACAACATAATATTTCCATCATGAAATGACAGTGTAATGTGTCCATCATGAGAATAACAACATAATATTTCCATCAAGAAATGAGCGCGTAATAATCCCAACATGAAATGACAACATAATATGTCCATCATTATAATGACAACATAATTTTTCCATCATGAAATGACAGTGTAATGTGTCCATCATGAGAATGACAACATAATATTTCCATCATGATTATGACAACATAATATTTCTATCATGAAATGACCGCGTAATATTTCCATCATGAAATGACAACATAATATGTCCATCAAGATAATGACAACATAATATTTCCATTATGAAATGACAGTGTAATGTTTCCATCATGAGAATGACAACATAATATTTCCATCATGAAATGAGAGTGTAATGTTTCCGTCATGAAATGATAACATAATATTTCTATCATGAAATGACAACATAATATTTCCATCATGAAATGACAGTGTAATGTCTCCATCATGAGAATGACAACATAATATTTCCATCATGAAATGACAACATAATATTTACATCATGATATTGACAACATAATATTTTCATCATGATAATGTGAGCATAATATTTCCATCATGATAATGACAACATATTTCCATCATGATAATGTTAGCGCAATATGTCCATCCTGGTCGTTTAATAAGTCGTCACTCTTTAAATTATGTAGATAAGTGATTGCTCTCCTGTATGTGGATATGACCTCTGTTCATTAAGATATTTAAGTTTGTTTTTTTTATTATAGGTCAATATAAGAATCAGCTTGTGATTGAAATCTAAACGGATTTTAGACATTTCTCGCACTCAACTTCGGACAGTTTTGGCAATGTTTAAACACGTGTAGGACTGCCAATACAATAATGGAGTTGATTTATCTTAACGTAAATGTTTGGTTGTTTTATTTTTATTGTTGTTGTTGTTGTTGTTGTTGTTGTTGTTGTGGGGCTTAACGCCA